GTGATTAAAACCTTGCCCATGATGGTTTTAACACTGCAGGTGTATGAAATTCTCAGAGCTGGTATATTCACATCGTCAGCCTTGACAACTGGTTTGAGTCCATTCCTTAACCTTGTCAAACAAGAGACGTGAAAATTGATGTTAATATAACTTGTTGCAACTAGGGTTTTTGTTTAGTTTTTTGGTTTCTGAATCTTGGTTTAAAGTGCTGATTAACCAAAGTTTCTAATGTTAAGCTGAACTTTGTTGTGCTGTAAACGATATCAGCATATGGTTTTCACTTTTCAGTGTAGGACCATGTAAAGCCTAGATACTTTTGTATAAAGCTGCAATTATAACATTGGTTGTTAAATAATGTCATCTTTCAAAAGTGCGTTCGTGTAAAAGGTTTCTAAGCCCTTTTTTTTTGTTCACAAATTTGTGCGTGTTTGTAGAAGTTATGCCTCCGCTTTTTATAACCATAACACGGCAGAATAATCATGCAGATGGTTTCCTGTTCCACCATCATGGGCGGAGGTTCATTTGGTATGCAAATATTTATGTATTGAAGATTGGAACTGCCAAAATTTTGCCTGTTCTGCCTAGATCATGGGTATTCATGAAAGGTTTTGCCTAAATTGAAATCACGAAATTGTTGCCTTTAGTCACTCTAAAGAATCGATCTTATGTCAAAAATGTTAAGCATTGTGTTCATTCTTTGGCTCGTTAAGGTTGCCAGATGAATGTTGAAGCAATCATCATGAATAGTCGTCGTGCAAAGTACAAGCTATTTCAATCCTCACACACACACACCCACGGATATATATATAAGGTTTTTTTTTTTCTTTTTCTTATTTTGGTTTTTGTCTTTTAAGTGTCAAATTAAATAATGGGTTTCGGTCCCTCAATTTTTTTTTTAAATTTAAAATATTGGTCTCTATAATCCCATAAAAATTTAGATCATTTTGCCCCTTGAGAGATCAAAATCAAAATGAGAGTAAATTAAGAAAATAAAAAATTATATTAACCTTCTATATATATATGAGATTGAGATGAATTGCGTTGTTTCAGCCGGTAGGGTGGTTGCAATCTCACCAAAGGCCAGATTCATGCATTTGCATTGGCAACCAAAGCGATAAGCCTAATTTTCTGTTCATACTATGAATGAGGTTAATTTACTGGCGTGCAACTTCAAATCGATTAAGTCGAAACTTTGCTGTAAGATCTTTAATGGGCAATTTTTTTTTTTTTGGTGTAGTCTCAAAATTCAGGCTAAATATTCAAAATTTCAAATTAATAAAGTTTTCATAGTAATGTTCTCACTAAAAATTAAAATTTGGTGACAATTAAAGTTATTATTAAGTTGGCCTGATATCAGACTGAGACTATTTTCCATTTTGTTTTTTGGGAGATGAAAAGACTAATTTGACATTTATTTATTTATATGACTTCACTGGTTCTATCTCTCTATTGCAAATCCAAGCAATAGAATGCAATGTAAGGAAAGATAAACACATGATTTAAATGGTGTAAATATATCTTTTCCATCATACGTATTCATATATGTGAATTTATTATGAAAATAAAAGAAACATAAGATACTAGCATTCAATAACAGGAAAAAAAATTAGAGAAGAGGAGTAGAAAATTGGATGTAAGAGAAATGAGAGATGATGAGCCTTTTTCGTTTTCCTGATTTAAATGTTGTAAACATACCCAAAACAGTTTTTTTGGTTTTGATGAAAAATTAAATAAAAATAAAAATAAAAATGTGGTTTTTGTTGTGTGTTCTGAAAAACAAAATAATTAAAATTTGTTTTGGGAAAAAATAGAACATCTTCTAAAGACTATAAAAGTGAAATTATGGAACTTTATATGGATAACCACACAAATATTATCTTCATAACATAACAGATGAAAAAAAACAAAAGCAAAAAGAAAATCTCCAAACCCTAATTAAATTATTTCCTCCGCTTGGGTTTCTCACTTCCCAGAGAGTACACTAATAACTGCAAACGCAAAACCATGAAGTCTAACAACAACAAGGAGGCGCGAACCCTCGGTAACACAACTTTTAAAAGATCAAGAGGCCATTATTAATTATGGAAACTGAAAGAACGCATAGTGCAGGCCCAAAAGAATTGGTATCTTTCTTATTTAGCAGAATAATGGTCCATTACAAGTTGTAACCACAAAGGTCCTCCTATTTATCTTCGGTGCAAGACAACCACACCGAATTGAAACTAAAACTAAACCTGAATGGGCCCTTGGCCCAATAACTAAAATACATTAGTATGTTAACACCCCCCCTCAAGTTGGAGGGCGAAAAATATCTACAGCTCCCAACTTGAACAACATTGTCCTCAAGGTCTCTGCCTTAACAGACTTAGTGAGTAGGTCAGCCTCTTGTTTAGAAGAACGAACATGCATTAGATTGATCAGCCCTTGCTGGACTTTCTCTCGCACGAAGTGACAGTCGATTTCTATGTGTTTCGTGCGCTCATGAAATACAGGATTCGCTGCTATGTGCATGGCCGCCTTGCTGTCACAATGAACATCAACTGGCTTTAATTGATTGATGTTCAAGTCTTTAAGTAAACCGACCGTCCACACTATCTCTGAAACTGCAGATCCCAATGCCCTATACTCAGCCTCTGCAGAAGAACGTGACACTGTAGCTTGTTTCTTTGTTTTCCACATGATCAGTGAACCTCCCAGCTTCAACAGATATCCTGTCACAGACCGCCTAGTAGTTGGGCAAGCTCCCCAATCTGCATCACAGAAACATGTCAGGTTTAAATTCCCTTCAGTGCTCAACAAAATCCCTAGTCCAGGTGTCCCTTTTAAATATCTTACTACACCCACTGCAGCAGCCATATGTGACTTTGTTGGTGTGTGCATAAACTGACTTAGTGCCTGCACAGAAAAGGAAATGTCAGGACGGGTTGTTGTGAGATATATTAAACGTCCCACCAAACGTCTATAACGTTCTGGGTCTCTCAAAAGGTCCGCCCTCTTATCTTTCCTTTCATCATAGGCTCTCAACCTTAAATTCTGTGCCATAGGAAGAGAGAGTGGTTTACAACCACTCAAACCAGCATCTGAAAGAAGGTCTAATAAGTATTTCTTTGAGTTAAGACAAGTCCTTTCTTAGATCTAGCGATTTCAATTCCTAAGAAATATTTCATAACACCTAAATCTTTGATCTTAAATTGATTATGCAGAAACAATTTCAATTCCTTTATACCTGCTTCCGAACTACCTGTTATGAGCAGATCATCCACATAAACTAAGACTATCACAAAACCACTATCCAATTTTCTAGTGAACATGGAGTAATCATGCTTACTTTGATAATATCCAGCACTGATTAATGCAGCAGTCAGCTTACTATTCCATTGCCTAGAGGCTTGCTTAAGCCCATATAGAGATTTTCGCAATCTACAAACCATGTTCTTCCCTTTGTTTTCAAAACCTTGAGGTAAAGACATATATACCTCTTCTTTCAAGTCCCCTTGCAGAAAGGCATTATTAACATCCATTTGATAAATGTTCCAGTTATTCATTGCAGCAACTTTCAAAATAATTCTAACAGTGACCATTTTAACTACAGGAGAAAAGGTTTCATGGTAGTCTATTCCTTCCTTTTGTGTGTATCCTTTAGCTACAAGTCTAGCTTTATACTTTTCTATACTACCATCAGCTCGATACTTAATTTTGAACACCCATTTACAACCAATGGGCTTCTTATCTTTAGGAAGTTTCACAACATCCCAAGTTTTGTTGTTTTCAAGAGCTGTAATTTCAGCTTTCATGGCATCCACCCAAACAGAGTATTTAACAGCTTCAGAATATGATTGTGGCTCAGAAACAGAATCAATAGAACAAAGAAAGCACATGAAGTTAGGAGAAATATTACCATAATCAAGATAACTCTGCAAGGGATACTTGCATTTTTGTTTACTGTCACCAGATAAGCCGTGATCAGACGCAACCAAGTTACACATGTAATCCTTTGCCCAAATGGGTGCCCTCCGCTCTCTAGATGGTCTTGATTCAGAGGGCTCAATAATCTGTGTCTCTTGTTGATCCACTGGAGGCATCTCGTTTAACCCACCATCCTCCGGTTGCACTTCAACAGAGGAATCTGATATGGGCAGATCTGTTCTTTCAACAAAATCAAAACAAGGAAGAGGATCATCAATATAAAATACACCTCTCAAGTGCTGACTTTGTCCTCCATGATCCTTGGCTATACTATCACGATAGGGAAACTTATTTTCCATAAAGGTTACATGTCTGGAAGTGAATACTCTCTTTTCAGTAAAATCATATAATATGTAACCCTTTTGGTTGTGGGGATATCCCAAAAATATGCATGGAATAGATCGAGATTTTAATTTGTCTGTGACATTTAAATTTGTGGCAAAAGCCAAAGACCCAAACACACGCAGCATCTCATAGTTAGGGGATTCACTATAAATGATTTCATAAGGAGTTTTATACCCTAAAACTCTTGAAGGAACCCTATTAACCAGGAACGTTGCCATTTGAACACACTCACCCCAAAATTTAATAGGCACTTGGGACTGTATCATTAAGCTTCTTGAGATTTGCATTAAAGTCCTATGTTTCCTTTCTACTATCCCATTTTGTTCAGGTGTATAGGGACAACTTGTTTCATGAATGATTCCCTTCTCCTCAAGGTAATGTTTCAAGTCGTGATTTACAAATTCTGTACCATTATCACTCCTTATTCTTTTTACATTAACAGAGAACTGATTCTGCACATAAGCAATAAAATTCTTGATGTGATTACCAGTTTCTATTTTACTTTTCATAAGAAAGGTCCAAGTGGCCCTAGAAAAATCATCTACTATAGTGAGAAAATAATGATGCCCTTGGTGTGTAGGTGTTTTATAAGGTCCCCACACATCCATATGTAACAACTCAAAACAGAATTTAGATTTAATGCAGCTTGGGGAAAAGGGAAGCTTAGTTTGTTTAGATTGAGCACAAATTTCACAAGCTTCATCCATTGATATATTCTTGTCATGTACAACATTCAAATGCCTCATTACAGATAAAGGAGCATGTCCTAGTCTCCTATGTATCAACCAAATATCAGTAGAATTACATGACTTATTCCTATTACTAATTGTGTTAACTGCATTATATTTCTGATCACAATTCAAGAGATACAGACCACAAAACAAACTACCAGTCGCCTTCTTCTTCCCATCCTGAAGGCCCTGCATAAAACAGTAGTTAGGAAGAAAACAAACCAAGCAGTTCAATTCCCTAGTTATACGTGGTACAGATATCAAGTTGAACTGCAATTGTGGAGCATATAAAACGTTCTCCAGATAAAAATCATTAGTGAATTTTATTCCTCCTATGTGAGTAGCCACAACTTTTTCTCCATTTGGTATTTTTATTGTTTTAGTCGGTCCTGTATAATCAGTATAATGGTCCAAAAGTTTTAAATCACTCACTAAGTGGGTAGTTGCACCAGAGTCAATCACCCATCTAACTATCATATTCAAGCAAGAAGTTGATTCTGCCAAACCTGTACCAGTCAAGGCATGTATGGCAGTGTCTGCATCTTTCCTTAGCAGCTCCAGAAGACGCTCGTACTGCTCTGGCGTGAGTGAGGTTGTCACTGTATTGGCCGAATGAGCACTGGAATCTTTTTCCACTTGTACTTGATTGGCACTATCAGCTCTTGCTGCTCTGCTTTTATTTCCTTTAAAATCCGGTGGATAACCAATAATTTGGTAACAATGATCTTTCACATGCCCCTTTTTATGGCAATGTGAGCATTCCAAATTTGAATTTCCTCTTCCCCTTCCTCTTCCTCTGCCATATCCTCTGCCTTGCACGATCATGGCAATACCTTCTGTTGGGCTTTCGATATTTGAGTTGGAGATTGATCTCTGAGCCTCAACCTCACATATCATTGCGTATGCCTGGTTCACCGAGGGAAGTGGACTCATCAACAGGATTTGGCTCCGTGCTTGACTATAGGTTTCGGTAAGACCCATCAAAAACTGGAGAAGTTTCTGTTGTTGAATCACTTCCCCATAAATCCTAGACGTCTCACATTTACAAGATGGAATCGGGACCAGAGAGGATTGCTCCTCCCAGAGTTCTTTCAGGCGTGTAAAATAACTGGAAACGGAAAGGGAATTCTGACGAAGGGAAGATATCTCTCGGTGTAGGAAGAAAATTCTCGAACCTGTTGCTTTGTCGAAGCGTTCTTGTAGGTCCAACCATACTAACCGAGCATCTTGAAAGAAAACAGCACCGTTCGCGAGCTCCTTTGAGATCGAATTCAGGATCCACGATAACACCACACGCATTACAGCGCTCCCACTGATCCTTCAGGCTGTCTTCTTGCATCTCTTTCGTGCAAGATCCATCAACGAAACCCAATTTGTGTTTCCCCCGCAGGGCTATTCTCATGGCTCGACTCCAGACGTTATAATTCTCGGCGCCGATGAGAATTTGTGAGATGATGGTTGCGCCTTGTGTATCCGAAGGATGGAGGTATAGCGGATGGTTGAAATTGAGATTCCCACCAGCAGAATCGTCCGGTTTCCTTGAATCTCCCATGGTGGATAACTGCGATCTGCTCTCCTGGCTTTCGACACGGTGTAATCAATGAATTAGGGCTTGAACATGAAGACCCCCTTCATGCGCCGCATCAACCGACGATGATGATAGACGAAACGACGTCGTCTTCTTGAAATGGCAATGGACCTTCAAGAAACCAGCTCTGGTACCATGAAAGAATGCATAGTGCAGGCCCAAAAGAATTGGTATCTTTCTTATTTAGCAGAATAATGGTCCATTACAAGTTGTAACCACAAAGGTCCTCCTATTTATCTTCGGTGCAAGACAACCACACCGAATTGAAACTAAAACTAAACCTGAATGGGCCCTTGGCCCAATAACTAAAATACATTAGTATGTTAACAGAAACGAATTAATCTACGATATACATACAATGGGTGCATCAAAATTTAGAGTCTTCTGCGGAAAGATAAAACTTGTTTGCCCAACATCATCTCTTCCTCTGAAAATCAGAATCAGATTTTCTTGACTCTCGTCATTGACAATAAAAAACAAAAAGTACTGTACGCTGAAGCAGGGAAGGACTTCGTTGATGTTCTACTAAGCTTTTTGAGATTACCCTTAGGAACTGTCTCAAGACTTGTGAGGATTCCACTGCACAGCCTTGCAGATTCAACTGTATAACCTCCCTGCGTCGAAGTGTGGAACAACTGGACCCAAAGTATTTTTCTGCGGGTGGGGATAAGCACATGTTGCTGCATCCCAGAAACCCAATGGATGATTATTACAGAACTACTGGTTATCTTCACTCTGACAACACACCCATCTCAAAGGGCATTAAGTGCTTTAAGGGCTATGTTCGCGAAGTGATTTGTTATATTGTGTCTGATGATTTAAGAGTGATGCCTATTGAAGTCGGTGCAACCTTCTGGATTCTACGAAATTTCGGAGTTCACTTTGTTACCGAGAGATTGACGGTTAGAATCACCCAGAAAGAGGTAAGTATATTATAGCGTATGATGATGATGGGTTCTGGTATGTGTATGCATATACATATATATATAGTGATTTCAGTTATTACACCTTTATATATGCACTGTTTTGAAGGTAATGGATCTTTTCAAGTTCTCCTTATGGTCAAAGACACCATTCACAGACTTATTCTTGCGCAAGAAACTCCACATTCAGAACTGTGGAACCCAAGTAGTGTCCAAGGTAAAGATCAATGAAGTTCAAGGCAAGGTGGGCAAAAGGATGAAGTTAAAGATAGTGATATCAAAATCTGAGAGCAAAGTACCGTTTGCTCAGGCAGATGAGGATTTCACTGTTCAGCTTTTGAGTTTCTTGACTATACCAGTGGCTGCTGTTGAACATCTTGAACAAGGCGACTCTGGTTTGGGCTGCATTGACAACTTGTATAAGAGCTGCACTAATTTGGATGTACCATATATTCTAAAGGACAACCTCCTCAACCCTCTTACTGCACGAAGTAAAGTCAAAAACCAGCTGTTACCAATTTATGAATTTGGAAGTTCTTTATGGAATAGGTGAATATATGTTAGGTGGGGAACTAAGTTCATGGTGAAAGATGATTTGTCCGTAGAACCATTTTCATGTCCTGCTGCTTTGTCATTTCTGGTTGAATCCAAAGTTGCTGAGCCAGACTTGGAAGTAGGCATTGGGGTTAATGAGGTGCAGCATACTTCTAAGCTTAATTAATTGATTTCTTCTCAATATAATTAATGGGTTTGATCATACCATAAACCAGTACTATTTAATACTATTTGTTTGTTTCAATATTAACGCAGGTGTTTGAAATCCTAAAGGCTGCTGTGTTATCCACGTCCGCTCTTACGATTGGGTTGAGGCCGTTGCTTACCGTTGCTAAACAAGAAAAGTGATGTTATTACCGTTAATTAAAGCGGAGAATAGTGATGTTATTACTACAAAGTGTTAAATTTGAAAGTTCATGAGTTTAATTGCTGTTGTTCTAAAAGCTATAGGGATAAACCGATCTAATGGAGGAAAGAAAGAAAGGAGTACTTCATAAGGACAAATTTCAAATTTTAGTAGAAAGTGTTCGGAGTTTTCCTATTTTCTAGTTTTTAAATTATAGGGTGGCTAATTGTGAAAGAAAATGTCAATAAATTTATGTATGATTGATTTGATAAATAAACTCTAACAAGAGATCAGACATTATTCATGAGTCATATGGTTTCTTATTCATGACTAAATTTCTTAGGTTTCATGGAAGCATCTACATGTGTTTTAATTAATTAATAATTAAAAGAACAATATTTAATCACTAATATAATCCTGATGACTAAATTCTTAGGTTTCATGGAGTATTTATGATTATAACATGCTTTTTTAATTCACTATTACTGTGTTAAAAAGTAATTATATTTTTCTTAATATTATTATATGCTATTCTTTATTATATTATCCTAAAATTTCAAACTAATTATAATATCTTAATTCAAATTTTAATTATTACTAACAAACTTTTACCCCTTAATAAAAATTTCTGGTTCCGTTCCATATGGCCGCATCAAATTTGCTCTCTATATGAGATAGTCCTATTTTCCCCAAAAATCAATTGAAAAATTTTAAGTTATCCGTACTCATGATTACGATGAATTTTTTGAATCGAAATGCTGCAAGAATGAGATATATAATCCATTAATGTGGACAGAAGTAAAGAAAATTAAAAAATATAAATATAAATAGAAGAAGGAGTATTGTTCATTCCATGGCCATTAAATCCGAGAAAATCATTTTCATTGAAATTTTACACACACACACAACACACGTAAATCCATGCGTATGCATCTTATTTTTCCTATCAAATATTTCAATATCCCTTTATATAAGTAAACAGTGCAATTTGCAATTCACGTTTGGTAGTATAATGTGGAGAAACGTAATTTTCGTATGAAAATAAAGGGCTTACCAAATAAAGAGAAGACTAGTACTCCCTCCATCCCTTTTTATAAATATCATTAGAACTCATCACGTAGATTAAAATATTAATTAAAATTGGTTAAAGATAATAAATATGTAGAAATTAGAAGTTCTTTCTCTAACATGCCCTTATTTATGGGAGGAGAGAGTATAAGAAAGAGAATAAGAAAATTATTATAATAAGAGAATTATAAAAAAGAGATAATAAATATACTAAGTATTAAAATAAATAATTAATGAGTGTAAAATGGGGAATTCGCCTAAAAAATTTAAGACAACTTGCACAAATTACTTATATTTAGAGATAACAAAAAGATGATAATTGTTGCTTATAAAAAGAGATGGAGAAGTATAATGGAAAGCTATAATTTGGTTTTGGATTTGAAAAAAGTGAGGCATCAAAAGAAATTACAGTTATGCCAATACAAATTGGGATTAACGCGCGTCTCAAGCGATGCTCTCGGGAAAAACGACTTCTCACATTTCCTCTTCTCAGGAGGAAGACGATCTGCTAGCTTGAAGTTATAAGAAGGTTAAGAATATGAAGAATGGTCACGCAGAGAACCTGTATCAAGTCACAGGAATTTGCTACCGGTGGACCTTCCTTTGCGGATAAGTTGAAAGGCATTGATAGTCAAGGTGCAGATAAGGAAAACGACATAGAGAATGATTCTGACACATTTGAATATGTCCCTTGAGCACGAAAACGAACCTCTAGTTAAAACAAAAGAAAATCCGGATAGGAACTTTCCAACATTCTGTTTTTCCAGAAGGATGAAAAAGAGATTATACAGATCATGGAAGAAGGCACTCATTGTGAAGTTGTTGGATAGAAGTATTGGATACAAAGCTTACGAGGCTTCAAGCCCTCGGGGCAAAACGAGGGGTGATTAACATTATTAATATTGGATATGGTTTCTTTGTTGTCAAGTTATCCAACAAGGAGGATTAGTTCAATGTGCTAACAGGAGGACCTTGGATGATTTATGATCACTATCTCATCGTGAGACCTTAGGACCCTCAATTCAAACCGGCAAAGGCAACCATCGACAAAGTTGCGGTTTGGGTCAGGCTACCTAGAGTATCTTTGGAATACTATAATCAGGAGGCTTTAACCATTATTGGAAACAAAATAGGAGAGACGATAAGGATTGATATGAATATGTCCTGCCAGTTAAGGGGTCACTATGCTCGAATTTGTGTGTTGGTGGATTTGGGGAAACAACTTATGGCTGGCTTTCATCTTGATGGCAAGGATTATTATCTTGAATATGAGGGGCTTCACATGCTCTGCATTAATTGTGGTATCTATGGCCATAGAGGGGAGGCTTGTCCAGGAAGAAGAAATGCTACTGAGTCAACAAGAAAATCAGAGAATAATGGAGGAAAAGAAACAAACTAGGAAGAAAGAATGCAGGTTAATCCTAACGTTAGCCACGACATTTGGCGAGTGGTATAGAAGACACGCCGGCAACAAAAACGCAAAGATTTGATGCCGGAGGGAGCCAGGCCGGAAAACAAGGGTTCAAGGTTTGGGATCCTTGTTGACATGGAAGGGTAGGAAAATGATGGGGAAATGGCCGTTATTCTTTACACGGTTCCCATACAAGAGGAGAAGCAAAATGTACCTCGTTAGCAGAGCACTGCACCATCACACCTATGCACGACACCTCTACAAACGCACAAAGAAAAAACGAGGAATGTAGCAAAAAGGCCACAAGAAAGCAGTACAGGTACTCTTGCTATGGTCCCGAGTAAAAAAGCAGAGGAACTACGGGAGGAGATATGTCACACCTTAAGTTTATACCAATTAACTTGCCTTGCAGAAGCATTT